CCCATTGAGTTCAATTTTAGTAAAACCTGAAAATATGAGAAACATTCATTAACTATCTTTAAACCTCATTGAAATTGTTAAAAATTATTCTTTACAATTTTCAGTTATTGAAAGTTTAAAGAGACTCTTTAAAATAAAATCTAAAATTCAATAATAAAACCGCTAACAATTCATAGAAGTTAAAAAATTCCTATTTCCCTGTTCCTCATAAATTCATAATTTGTTGGAATCATCATTTAAATTTCAAAGTTTATAATGTCTCTCCATAAATCAACGTCAATACTGCTACACGTCAACTCTTCATGAACTTTCAATTTTTTTTTCACCAGTGCATAATAAACATCTCCCAAAACCCTCCGAATATGTCAGTCATAAATTTTCAACGGTGTCTGTCTCAGAAGTATCCTCCAATCATCCATAAAAAAAATTGCGCAACCCAATATTACACAACACCTTCCAGTGATTTTCTCCATCAAAACGCAACTGGTCAAATTGTTCCATAAAAATCTCGCTAAAAACAACGACTTCCTAGAGCTCTCGTCCTTCCTCTCGTCCCGGCGACCGATCCTACAGATAATTTTCCCCATCGATGTTTTCTACACCGAGGAAAATCACCGATTTGAACCAAATAAAAATTTTTATTCGAATTTTTCCTATTACAAAGAAGTGGCCATTAGAAATAAATAAAATTGTTTACTTGTCTCAATAAAAAAGTTCGTTTCGTTAAGAAAAGAATTTACTCATTCCAAATAAGACTTTTATGTAATCGACGAAAAAAAGGTACTTCATTGAAATGAACTTCATGATTTGTTTAAACAAAAAATTACAATCGTAAGTCGATTTCTCTCTTTCTCTGTCGGTTCTATCTGGGTCTTGGGTTCTACCAAAAATTCCGCTATTTCTCTCAGATTTCGTGATTTTCATTAAAAACTCCCCAAAACTAAAAATCGTGTTAAACCAATTTTCCCTGAAATCTCAAAAAGATTCAAGTCCTACCGCTCCCATCGAAAAATCTACAAAAAATCTAGAAAATATAAATTTATTCACGAATTCCCTAAGAATCTTTTTTTTTTCATATAAAAAGAGGACAATGTAAGATATTTTAAAATGTTTTTTGCAAAATATAAATTTTTCATAAACGGCGTCTGAGACTACTTTGAGCTCAGCATCGATAAATTCCTCATCGTACGACCGAGAGGAAGCGATGAGGAGAAAAAAAGGGGCGAAAGGGGCGAAAGGGGCGAAAGGGGTGGAAGCGGCGGAAGGGGAAGCAGAGGAGGAAGAGGAGGAAGAGGAGGAAGAGAAGAAGGGATGAGAAGAAGGAGGGGGGAGAGAAGGAGAACAGTGATGGGCGAGAGGCGAGAGGCGAAAGGCGAGAGCGATTAATACAGCCTCAGCATCCAGATGCATGTAGGGATGTGGGGATGTGGGGATGTGGGGATGTGGTTCCGGTTGGTCATTAATGTCCACTTTGAGTTTCCTCTTCCGTTAGTTACCTTATCGCCCTCGGCCCCCTCCACCTCCCCCCAAATACTGAATAATTCCATTTGTCGGACAGTTGGCTCGAAACGATCATAATATAATCATCATTAATCTCGTTAAATATTGAACTAACCCGAAGAGTTTCTAATGGATAATTGAATAGCACTGATGCTTGGAGCGTGATGCAGTGAAAATAGTATTCAACTGCACAAATTAGCAACAGCCACTCGCACAATTCCCTCCAATTAAACGATTTCAAGTGCATTGTACCCTGACGTGTCAACAATTGTAGGGATGATCCCCGTTGGAGAAGGTGAATTCACCCTCCGTGCACCTCTTGCCAAGGTTTTATCGGATATTAACAGGGTCATGCACTTGGTTAGGAAACATGTCTTCCGGTGAAATTGCCTCCTCTCGGAGGTACTTCAAGCATCGGGCTCTGAGTCATTATAATTGATTGAATCCTTTGGCATGTTGCACACGTTCTACAGTTCCTATTCAACTCGGCAATGCGATTAATTACGAATAGTATGCGGATTCCAACTGATGACAGGCAAATGTGAATCACTTGAT